TACGTCTGTTCCAGTCGCTGCGTCGTGCTCCTGCCGGTTGCTTGCCCACCCCACCGTTCTGTGGCACCACCGGATGGGGCACCCGTCCCTTCCACGTCTGCGCGCTATGTCTAGTCAGCGTCTTGTCCTAGGCCTCCCACGTGTCTTGCCGTCGCTGCCGCCTTCGCCTGCGCCGCCGTGTCGTCCCTGCGTCGAGGGTAGGCTGCGCGCCACCCCTCACTCCTCCTCCCTTCGTCCGGCCACCGAGCCTTTTGAGACGCTTCACTTGGACGTCTGGGGCCCCGCCCCTCGTCTAGGCCCTGAGCGTGAGCGTTACTTTCTGGTGGTCGTTGACGACTTCTCCCGCTACACCACAGTGTTCCCTCTGGCGAAGAAGTCTGAGGTGACTTCTACGCTGATCAGGTGGTTGCTCACCACTGAGGACACTCGTGGTCGTCGTGTCAGCTGTCTCCACTCCGACCGTGGGGGTGAGTTTCGCTCCGGCATTCTCGCTGGATTCTGTCGCGAGCAGGGCATTCGTCAGTCCTGGACGCTTCCAGAGTCCCCACAGCAGAATGGGGTTGCTGAGCGCCGCATAGGCCTGGTCATGGAGATCGCCCGCACCTCCCTGACTCACGCCTGTGCCCCCCATTTTCTGTGGCCCTACGCGGTCAGGTACGCCGCGCACCAGCTGAACCTCTGGCCACGTGTCTCTCGACCAGAGGTTTCACCGACCAGTCTTTGGACAGGGTCCCCTGGTGTTGCGTCGCGGTTTCGTGTCTGGGGGTGCTTGGCTCTTGTCCGCGACACCTCCGCGGACAAGCTCTCGCCTCGTGCCGTCCCCTGTGTCTTCCTTGGTTTCCCTGAGGACTCCTCTGACTTCACCTTTTACCACCCTCCCTCTCACCGGTTCTTTGACTCCCGTGACGTCCGTTTCGAGGAGTCCACTCCGTACTACGTCAGGTACCCCAGTCGAGGTCTCCCGGTTCCTCCTCCCCCCCTCTTCCTGACTGCCGTTCCCCCTCCTGCTCCCCCGGTACAGCCTCCCCCCCCTGGTCCAGCCCCGTCAGGTGTGTCCCAGGCTACCCCTCCTCCTTCGGTAGCCCCTCCGGTACAGCCTCCCTCCCCACAGTCCTCCTCGCAGCGTGCCGCTGGTGCTAGCTCTCGAGAGGTTGGTGCGGCGCCTGTTCCTGTACCGGTTTCTGGTTCTGGGGGTGCTGGAGTTGGAGCTGGAGTTGGAGCTGGAGTTGGCACTGGAGTTTCTGGTTCTGGGGGTGCTGGAGTTGGAGCTGGGGTTGGAGCTGGAGTTTCTGGTTTTGGAGTTGGAGCTGACCCGGTGGGTGCAGAGGACTCTTGTCGTCCGGGAGCTGGTGCTGGCCGCGCGGACACTGGGGGTGCTGCGTCTGGGGGTGAGGGTGCGCCTCCTTCGGGTTCAGGTGAGCCTAGTTCTGGAGCTGGTGTTAGTGCTGCCTCTGGGGGTGGTGCGCCTAGTTCTTCTGAGGTGGACTCTGGAGCTGCCGCTGCTTCGGACACTACTCCACCCCCCCACCCCTACCCGACTAGGCACCAGGCTCGTGTTCGCCGTGCCCGTGACGAGCAGCTGGCGTTGGAGAGAGAGGAGAGGGAGTTACAGCGGCTGGAGGAGCAGCAGCAGCAGCTGGAGCCGCAGGATCAGCAGCAGCAGCAGCAGCAGCTGGACCCGCAGGAGCAGCAGTCCCAGCAGCAGCCGCGTCCGCAGCAGCAGCAGTCGCAGCCGCAGCAGCAGCAGCCACTTCCTCCTCCTGTCTCGGGTCTTCGGACCCTTGGTCTCCCCTCCCCTTCTCCTCCCTCCTCCGCCTCTCCTCCTGTCTACGGTCCCACGTTTCCTCCTCCTGACTCCTCCCCCGCTGTTTTCCCCAGTTCTCCGCCCTTGTCCTCTTCTCCTCCGTCTCGTTCTTGGGCTACTCGTCGCTCCCCTCGTGCTCGTCCCTCGTCTCCTGTTCCCTTCACTGACCTTCGTACTGCCTTCCTTCTTTCTAGTCCACCTCGTCCGTCTCAGTCTGTGCTTCCGTCTCCTCTTGAGTCGGCCCTCACTGTGTCGCTCCCTACTCCTGTCACTGACTACTACCGCATGTACCGTCCTGTTCTCTCTCGTGTTCTCGCCTCTCTTGTTACTCACCCTCGTGTCTCTGTGTCCTCTGTGTCCGCTCTTACTGCCGCGGTTACTGACTTTGCCTCTACCCGCCGCCTTGACTACGCCACCACGCTTGTGACTGCTCCTCCTACCAGTCCTCTGGTCGTCGGGGGTGTGTCTGCCCTTGGCTGTGACGCCCTAGAGGACAGGCAGTTTGAGCTAGAGTTCCTGGCGGCCGCTTCCCCTCATCTCTGTGCCATGCTCCTCGCCCCTGAGGGTGACCCCGACGCCCTTGACATTCCGACTCCTCGCACTTACGCTGAGGCAGTGTCAGGGCCTTGGGCCTCTCAGTGGAGAGCTGCCATGGACGCAGAGATGGCCCCCTACAGATCCACAGGCACCTACGTCGATGAGGTTCCCCCCCCTGGGGCGAACGTAGTCGACGGCATGTGGATCTACAGGGTGAAGCGGCCACCGGGATCTCCCCCGGTCTTCAAGGCGCGCTACGTGGCTAGAGGTTTCAGTCAGCGCGAGGGAGTTGACTTCTTTCAGACCTTCGCACCTACCCCGAAGATGACCACTCTTCGGGTGTTACTACACGTAGCAGCACAGAGAGACTACGAGTTACACTCTCTTGACTTCTCCACTGCTTTCCTTCAGGGCAGTCTACACGAGGAGGTCTGGTTGCGTCGTCCCTCGGCCTTCACTGGCACTTTCCCTCCTGGGACCCAGTGGAGGCTGAGGCGACCTGTTTACGGTCTTCGCCAGGCCCCTCGTGAGTGGCACGACACTCTGCGTTCTACCCTCTCTGACCTTGGGTTCCAGCCGTCTTCTGCCGACCCGTCGCTGTTCGTTCGTCGTGGCTCCACACCGTTCTTTGTTCTGGTCTACGTCGACGACCTCGTTTTCGCCACTTCGGACAGGGTTGCTTTGGCAGACGTGAAGTCCGAACTGCAGAAGAGACACACGTGCACTGATCTTGGTGAGCTGCGCCACTACCTTGGCCTGCAGATCACCAGGGACAGAGCCGCTCGCACCATTACACTCTCACAGTCACACATGGTGCAGCAGGTCCTTCAGCGGTTCGGGCTTCAGCACTCCACCGTACAGCGCACACCTCTAGCTGTTGACCACAGACTCACTGGTCCCTTTCCTGACGAGCCGTTTGAGCCTAGTGGTCCCTACGCAGAGCTTGTGGGTTGCCTCATGTACCTGATGACTTGTACTCGCCCGGACCTCGCCTTCCCTCTCAGCATCCTTGCGCGCTTTGTTGCGCCAGGGAGACACCGTCCTGTTCACTGGACGGCAGCTGTGAGGGTGGCGAAGTACCTAGCGACTACATCAGGCGTGGGGCTAGTTCTTGGAGGGCAGCAGTCTGTCGTACTCACTGGTCACTGTGACTCCTCTTACGCTGACGACGCTGAGACTCACAGGTCTACTCAGGGGTACTGTTTCAGTCTGGGTTCTGGAGCTGTTTCCTGGCGTTCCACGCGCTCCTCTTCTGTCTCGACCTCTACAGCTGAGGCTGAGATTTACGCTGGTGCCATGGCGGCACAGGAGTTGCGGTGGTTGACCTTCTTGCTCGCCGACCTTGGTGAGCGGCCGAGCTCTGCACCGACCTTGTTTACTGACAACAAGGCGTCGATCCTCCTCTGTCGTGAGCCGCGACTGGAGAGCAGAGTGAAGCACATTCACGTCAGGTACTTTCTTCTGCGAGAGTTGCAGAGGCGTGGACAGGCTCGCTTCGAGTTTGTAGAGTCCGAGGCCAACACTGCAGACATCTTCACCAAGGCGCTTCCGCCTTGTGACCACCAGAGGTGTTGTGTGCAGTTAGGCCTTGTTGACACAGGTTCTAGTCATGCGTAGACTTGAGTTTATTGCCTGCTTCGTCTGTACACTTACTATATATACTTGTGATCTCTTGGACTGGCCTTGTGGCCACTGTTGCTTGTGCTCAGAGTGTGTGGTGACGTTGTGATCCACCCTGAGCTTTGTTTTCTTTTGGACTGGTCTTGTGACCGTACTCTTTTTTTTGTTTTTGCTAGACACCCCTCACTTAGGCTATGGGGGTGTGTCAAATGTTGTAGCCTGTAGTGAGGTTTGTCTTAGGGGGTACAGAAGTTAGGGTTTGTTATATGTACCCCAACCAACATCAATGCAACATCCATTCCTCATTTTGACACGTTGACGGGGCAGTGAAGCGCGGAAGCGACTGAGTCTTCGCCAGTGTGGACGAGAACGAAATGAGAACCACAATTTTGAAAATGAAAACGTGGGTGGGGACGACTGTCCCCACGTCCCTCTTTTGTAGGCAAAAGAGGGTGAGTAGCGCTTCGGCGCTACCTTTGCTGTGTTGGCCACGTACCCCTTTTCACAATTCAAAATTTCAGGAAGTGTTACATTTCATTACACTTTCAAAAATTATAATATTTCCACAAATTAATTGCCTGAACTGCTCAGTCTCGAAGGGTCACCAAATGGCCTGCAATATTCAACAGAAAGGGTCACCCAATAGCCTGCAATTTTGCAGGAATAGCAGCTACTTCTGCTTCTTTCGAGACTTGACTTGCTGCTTGTTGTGCTGCTCGAAGAAAGTACCCTGCAAGCAAACAAGGGTTGCAAAACCCATCCCAAAGAAGACATTCCTGGTCATCCCAAGAGACAAAATGGCAGCACTTCACAAACCACCGACAACAGCATGTAAGCCCAATTTCAACCTGAAGTTGCAAGTTGCGACCCCCCTAAACCCCAATTTCAAACTTGCATGAATACAATCTCCCCACAGACCTGGAGCCAGTCGTTAGTCTTGGCACCAGAGTCTCCCGCTGTGCCCACCTTTTGCAACGGCTTTAAAGTAAGTCCCTTGCTGGTGTTAATGCGACATTGCAGGGTCTCATTTCCAACTGACCTGGAGCCACTCGTTGGTCTCGGCACCAGTGTCGCCCGCTGTGCCCACCTCAACCTTCTTAGTGCGGCGGGATTTCTGCGAGACAGGAGCGGCATTTCATTGGGAAAACAGGCCATGCCAACAGAATTAGTGACACATTGCAGGAGAGCTTTACATCGGCGATGGTTCGTCGTGGCGACATGCCCGTACGACCACACACTGACCACATACCCATCCATCACTCCGGCTCTTCCACCCACCCACTCCCCAATCCCCCCATGCCAGCTTCACATATCCTAACATCCCACACATCACCCCTTCCAACCGAACGTGGTTCATCTTGGCAGCCTGCCCATATGCCCACACGCCCAGCAATGAAAACTGTATGCCACCACATCACACATACATCTCAGCACCACAGCCGACCCTCCCCTCTCTCTCTCCCCTCCCCCTTCTAACCGCACCTGGTTCATCTTGGTGACCTGCCCGTACGCCCACACGCCCAGCAGCGCGAGCAACCCTGCGGCGAGCAGCACGAGGAACACCGACTCGCCGCTCACGTACCCCACCGGCTCCAGCACCTCCACTGTGCGGTTGATGAGGAGAGACGCGTGGAGAGAGTCGCCCACGATGTAAAATGCAGCGAGGGCCAGCCCGAAGTCGCGCGGCTGGGGGAAGACACGTCGTGGTGGAGGGGAAGGGGCCGGGGAAGGGGGAGGGAGAGGGAGGGGGGCGGGCGGGAATGGGGGGAGAGAGGGGAGGGGGCGGGGAAGAGTGGGGCAAGGAGGGGAGGGAGAGGAGAAGTGGTGAGCGTTGGAGGAACAAGGACTCGCCGCTCACGTACCCCACCGGCTCCAGCACCTCGACCGTGCGGTTGACGAGCAGCGACGCATGCAGGGAGTCGCCCACTATGTAAAACGCGGCCAGGGCGAGACCAAAGTCGCCGAGAAGTGGGGGAAGGGGAGAGGGGAGGGAGGGGAGAAGGGGGGAAGGTGGGGGCCGGGAGGAGGGGGAGGGAGGAGGGTGGCGGAGGGGGAAGAGGGAGAAGTGGTGGTGAGGGTTGGTGGGGCGAGAAGGGGCTGGCGAACCCCACCAGCTCCAGCACCTCGACAATGCGGTTGATGAGGAGAGAGGCGTGGAAGGGAGTCAGCAACAATGTAAAATGCGACCGCGCGGCAAAATGGGGATAGAGAAAAGAGTTTGGCAGGCGGAGAGGGGTGGGAGGGGGGAGGAGGAGCAGGGGAAAACGAATTAGTGGATTCGGGTTGGCGGGTGGAGAAAGGTGGTTGATGGGAGGAGGAAAAAGGAGGAGATGGGAGGGAGAGGCACAAATATGTGGTTTCCGAGGTACGAGGTGGGCAGAGGGTGATTTAAGTGGTGAAAAGAACAATCGAAGAATGTAAAGAGAACCCACCTGAAGGTACCTCTCTGGCGTGAAGTGGAAGGAGAAGGAGGTCTGCACACCCGGAGGGATGGTGATGTTGTACGACTGAAGCGATCGCAGGGGGACATAGGGAGACGAAAACAAAGCAAGCACACACAGGCACACGGGAGGAGAAAACACAGCAGGAGCATACAGGCACACGGGAGGAGAAAACACAGCAGGAGCATACAGGCACACGGGAGGAGAAAACACAGCAGGAGCATACAGGCACACGGGAGGAGAAAACACAGCAGAAGCATACAGGCACACGGGAGGAGAAAACACAGCAGGAGCATACAGGCACACGGGAGGAGAAAACACGGAAGGAGCGACCTTTTGAGTGGACTCCGAAGGAGACCTGCACGCCTGGAGGGATGGTGACGTTGTACTACTGTACGCGCACACAGGCACACAGGGAGGCGAAGCACACAACAACAGCCAGTCCATTGCCTTGTCTCACCCTCTAAGAGGCACCTATTGAGGCGCGTCAAAAGCCAACAACCAGTCCATTGCCTTGTCAATACGTTTTCAACCACCTCTGCAGTCACGTGATACTATGATTTGAAACGTCTCAAAACAGGGATACAGGAGGGGAAACACACAACAACCAACACCCCTCACCCCCCCCCTTCTTCCCCCCCCCCACCCCCCCCCCTCAATCCCCCCTCAACCCCCCCCCCCTCTCCCCCCTCCCCCCCCACCTCTTCCCCCTCTTTCCCCCCTTACCCCCCCTCTTCCCCAACTCACGTCGGAAGAGAAGTTTTGCACCACGTATCGGAAGTCGAACGGCACGTAGATGTTACCAGTAACGTTACCCATGAACACCGGGATCGGACCTGAAAGAATGAACACACCATCAACATCCGCGTGGCGGGAAAGGTCCGCACACATGAGCCAAAACCACAAAAGCAAAACAAGAAAACAAACACACGCACACACGCACGCACGCACGCACGCACGCACGCACACACACACACACACACACACACACACACACACACACACACACACACACACACACACACGCACGCACGCACGCACGCACGCACGCACGCACACACACACACACACACACACACACACACACACACACACACACACACACACAAACAAACACACACAAAATACCAATTCGTCCTTATGCCTCTCACAGATTTTCCACTGAAACATACTCGGAAGCTTTGACATGATCACGTGGGGTCAACGGGGATCGAACGAGGGACAAATCAGTGGGAACAAGGCGGGCGAAAAGTTGCGACTAAAACAGTAGTCAAAACAGTCGTCCAAATGCCACAAGGCAGGCGGCGTACCGTTGTTGCTGATTGAAAAGAGCAGCTCGGCTTCCTGACCAGCGTGGATAACCGGCTCTGCAGGAAAAAAATAATAATAATAAAAAAAGACAAAATACAAAAACCATGGACGTTCGGCGAGCAAGGACGTGACAGATCATGCGACGCGATCGAGATCAAATCCGAGAGTCTATTTATGAGGCGCCTGAAAAATGGTCAAACGTGACGCGTACCCTTGTTGAAGAATTTTGGAAGAATGGATTTGACTTCGACTCCATCGGCCGGGACAAGACGCGGCAACTCCTCCCCCACCTCCTCTTCCTCCGTCGCCACGATCTCCGATGCAGCGGCGTCAGCCGCTACGGCGTCGGCAGCGGCGTTCGCATCTTCGTCATCCTCCTCAGCACGAACGGTGACTGGCGACAGAGATTTTTGAAAAGGTAAGAGATTCAGACAGTTAGGAATCAAGTCAGGAAGAAAGCGCGCAAGCACGGACGGTGACTGGCGACAGAGATTTAATTAGGTTGGAGTTCGAACGGTCAGGAAATGAGTCGGGAATAAAGCGAGCAAGCACGGATGGTGACTGACGACAGAGATTTAAACGGTCGGGAAACGAATCGGGAAGAAAACGAGCAAGCAGGACGGGCGTAATGACAATGGCATTAACCCATGATTCGATATGGATTGCGAAAGATCAGATCCAATGTCCATGCCATCTCTTCATCACAGCGGGAGGAACATAGGAAAGAAAGCAACGTCATTGACGAGTCTTGCTAAGGAAGAAAGGAGCGAATTACCTGCTGGCGAGAGAATCAAGAAGATCGCAAATAGAACAAAAGAGAGCCGCCATATAGATCGACGAGCCATGACGGATCCGTACAAAGCGGGAAGACGAGAGAAATGGGTCAATTCCTAAACAAATCCGCAAATAAACTAGCAGTGATTGGACCAGATACTATGACCAGGAAACTAGATCCAGAAAAATGATAGTCTCTAGGCTACCGTAAATTGGTTTGCAACGCTGGTAGCAATGAAGGAAAGATATTGGTCTGGTTCTGGTCGATTGACATACGAACATCTGACCTCGTCAATGGCTTGCGACAGATTTCGCCGGGTAACGCACGAAACCCTACATTGCAAATCAGAGAGGCTTTAAGGTTTCGGAAGGGGCCTTGGTCGCACTCAAGCGAAGAGCTCTGAGTTCATCAATCACTCGGAGCAAATTGGATTGCACCACATCACCCACGACAACACCTGGTTGCATGTCGCGTGATTCTTCTTACGTCGCCAATCTTTGTCTTCTCCTCGACCCAAAAACGTGGGGCGACTAGAGGGCACGGACTCTGAAACGTGAGTGCTTCTAGCAATTTTCGTCACTCTTTTAACGATGCTTAATGGTGAGAGTCGCAACATGTGTTACTGTCGCAACTGCGCGACCAATGCCTTGTTCAAAGGGATCTTCCACGCTCTAACGGGGCTTCGCCGACTTCGCGCGCACTGTTTCACCAAACCTCGCACTGCTGGCCCGCCCGTGTCGGGCTACGCTCCGGGACTAGCCCGCGCCTCGCTGCCAGCATAGCACTAGCTAGCTCGCATGCACCGCGTTACCGTTTGCATGTTTCGCGTATAAATGTTCGCTCATGCCTTTGCTCATACTTTGTACCCGTTTGACACCTTAGTGCAATCCTCGCTACCTCAATTCATTGCACCCGTAACACTTGTCAGAATCCCAACCACTAGACCATTGGGATAAAAGAGCTTGTTTCAGTAGCGGGTCAGTGCGCCCATAACCCCCCAGGCGAACGCGCTTGTAACCCTCTCCAGGATCAATCGGGCATCCACAGTGCAGATCTACTGTAAGGAAATTCCCTTTTCCTTACTTCGCGTCACTGCTCAACGCGTACATCACTATAGCACCTCAGTCAGCACCGTTACCACTCGCGACCATCGCATCATTCATCATCCCGCCCTTTTCGCACATCGCATCCCGACCTCACGGCTCGGCTGGTAACCCGCGCTCCGGGCCTACGCTTCGACACTTTCCCAACCTCAGTCCCAGGCTCGTCGCGCGACCATTACCGTTACCACTATAGTTTCGCTATATAATGTTCGTGTCAAAATGAGGAATGATGATGCCATTGATGTTGGTTGGGGTACATATAACAAACCCTAACTTCTGTACCCCCTAAGACAAACCTCACTACAGGCTACAACATTTGACACACCCCCATAGCCTAAGTGAGGGGTGTCTAGCAAAATAAAAAAGAGTACGGTCACAAGACCAGTCCAAAAGAAAACAAAGCTCAGGGTGGATCACAACGTCACCACACTCTCTGAGCACAAGCAACAGTGGCCACAAGGCCAGTCCAAGAGATCACAAGTATATATAGCAAGAGTACAGACGAAGCAGGCAATAAACTCAAGCCTACACATGACTAGAACCTGTGTCAACAAGGCCTAACTGCACACAACACCTCTGGTGGTCACGAGGCGGAAGCGCCTTGGTGAAGATGTCTGCAGTGTTGGCCTCGGACTCCACAAACTCGAAGCGAGCCTGTCCACGTCTCTGCAACTCTCGCAGAAGAAAGTACCTGACGTGAATGTGCTTCACTCTGCTCTCCAGTCGCGGCTCACGACAGAGGAGGATCGACGCCTTGTTGTCAGTGAACAAGGTCGGTGCAGAGCTCGGCCGCTCACCAAGGTCGACGAGCAAGAAGGTCAACCAACGCAACTCCTGTGCCGCCATGGCACCAGCGTAAATCTCAGCCTCAGCTGTAGAGGTCGAGACAGAAGAGGAGCGCGTGGAACGCCAGGAAACAGCTCCAGAACCCAAACTGAAACAGTACCCCTGAGTAGACCTGTGAGTCTCAGCGTCGTCAGCGTAAGAGGAGTCACAGTGACCAGTGAGTACGACAGACTGCTGCCCTCCAAGAACTAGCCCCACGCCTGATGTAGTCGATAGGTACTTCGCCACCCTCACAGCTGCCGTCCAGTGAACAGGACGGTGTCTCCCTGGCGCAACAAAGCGCGCAAGGATGCTGAGAGGGAAGGCGAGGTCCGGGCGAGTACAAGTCATCAGGTACATGAGGCAACCCACAAGCTCTGCGTAGGGACCACTAGGCTCAAACGGCTCGTCAGGAAAGGGACCAGTGAGTCTGTGGTCAACAGCGAGAGGTGTGCGCTGTACGGGGGAGTGCTGAAGCCCGAACCGCTGAAGGACCTGCTGCACCATGTGTGACTGTGAGAGTGTAATGGTGCGAGCGGCTCTGTCCCTGGTGATCTGCAGGCCAAGGTAGTGGCGCAGCTCACCAAGATCAGTGCACGTGTGTCTCTTCTGCAGTTTGGACTTCACGTCTGCCAAAGCAACCCTGTCCGGAGTGGCGAAAACGAGGTCGTTGACGTAAACCAGAACAAAGAACGGTGTGGAGCCACGACGAACGAACAGCGACGGGTCGGCAGAAGACGGCTGGAACCCAAGGTCAGAGAGGGTAGAACGCAGAGTGTCGTGCCACTCACGAGGGGCCTGGCGAAGACCGTAAACAGGTCGCCTCAGCCTCCACTGGGTCCCAGGAGGGAAGGTGCCAGTGAAGGCCGAGGGACGACGCAACCAGACCTCCTCGTGTAGGCTGCCCTGAAGGAAAGCAGTGGAGAAGTCGAGAGAGTGTAACTCGTAGTCTCTCTGTGCTGCTACGTGTAGTAACACCCGAAGAGTGGTCATCTTCGGGGTAGGTGCGAAGGTCTGAAAGAAGTCAACTCCCTCGCGCTGACTGAAACCTCTAGCCACGTAGCGCGCCTTGAAGACCGGGGGAGATCCCGGTGGCCGCTTCACCCTGTAGATCCACATGCCGTCGACTACGTTCGCCCCAGGGGGGGGAACCTCATCGACGTAGGTGCCTGTGGATCTGTAGGAGGCCATCTCTGCGTCCATGGCAGCTCTCCATTGAGAGGCCCAAGGCCCTGACACTGCCTCAGCGTAAGTGCGAGGAGTCGGAATGTCAAGGGCGTCGGGGTCACCCTCAGGGGCGAGGAGCATGGCACAGAGATGAGGGGAAGCGGCCGCCAGGAACTCTAGCTCAAACTGCCTGTCCTCTAGGGCGTCACAGCCAAGGGCAGACACACCCCCGACGGCCAGAGGACTGGTAGGAGGAGCAGCCACAAGCGTGGTGGCGTAGTCAAGGCGGCGGGTAGAGGCAAAGTCAGTAACTGCGGCAGTAAGAGCGGACACAGAGGACACAGAGGCACGAGGGTGAGTAACAAGAGAGGCGAGAACACGAGAGAGAACAGGACGGTACGTGCGGTAGTAGTCAGTGACAGGAGTAGGGAGCGACACAGTGATGGCCGACTCAGGAGGAGACGGAAGCACAGACTGAGACGGACGAGGTGGACTAGAAAGAAGGAAGGCAGTACGAAGGTCAGTGAAGGGAACAGGAGACGAGGGACGAGCACGAGGGGAGCGACGAGTAGCCCAAGAACGAGACGGAGGAGGAGAGGACAAAGGCGGAGAACTGGGGAAAACAGCGGGGGAGGAGTCAGGAGGAGGAAACGTGGGACCGTAGACAGGAGGAGAGGCGGAGGAGGGAGGAGAAGGGGAGGGGAGACCAAGGGTCCGAAGACCCGAGACAGGAGGAGGAAGTGGCTGCTGCTGCTGCTGCTGCGACTGCTGCTGCTGCGGAAGCGGCTGCTGCTGGGACTGCTGCTCCTGCGGGTCCAGCTGCTGCTGCTGCTGCTGCTGCTGATCCTGCGGCTCCAGCTGCTGCTGCTGCTCCTCCAGCCGCTGTAACTCCCTCTCCTCTCTCTCCAACGCCAGCTGCTCGTCACGGGCACGGCGAACACGAGCCTGGTGCCTAGTCGGGTAGGGGTGGGGGGCCGGAGTAGTGTCCGAAGCAGCGGTAGCTCCAGAGTCCACCCCCGAAGAACCAGGCGCACCACCCCCAGAGGCAGCACTAACACCAGCTCCAGACCCAGGCTCACCAGAACCCGAAGGAGGCGCACTCTCACCCCCAGTGTCCGCGCGACCAGCACCAGCTCCCGGACGACAAGAGTCCTCTGCACCCACCGGGTCAGCTCCAAGTCCAGAACCAGAAACTCCAGCTCCAACTCCAGCTCCAACCCCAGCACCCCCAGAACCAGAAACTCCAGTGCCAACTCCAGCTCCAACTCCAGCTCCAACTCCAGCACCCCCAGAACCAGAAACCGGTACAGGAACAGGCGCCGCACCAACCTCTCGAGAGCTAGCACCAGCGGCACGCTGCGAGGAGGACTGTGGGGAGGGAGGCTGTACCGGAGGGGCTACCGAAGGAGGAGGGGTAGCCTGGGACACACCTGACGGGGCTGGACCAGGGGGGGGAGGCTGTACCGGGGGAGCAGGAGGGGGAACGGCAGTCAGGAAGAGGGGGGGAGGAGGAACCGGGAGACC